GGTGTAAGCAAATTACATTGGGCAAATCTTACTATTTTAGTTCATTTTACTGCGTGAACTTTTACGTAGTTGTTTTGTGCAAAGTTGAAAGTTGTACACTCCATCACTTGTTCATTATTACTTTGCTTGACGCAAAGCTGATTTTCAAAAGATGGATTTGGCGAGTTATGATGTTGCTAGCTGAGTGAAGATGTGATGTTGAGTTAACTGGAGCACTGTTGGAGTTAATTAATGTCTAGACTGTGTTACTGATCATCCTATACGCACCTCCCTCGGGCCAAGCTCTTTGATTCGTCTTCTTCATCGCTAATTATTGCAAAACATCGTGAATATAGCTACGGTATTAAAACTTCTGATTCAGTTAAGTATTTCTCGTCTAAATAAAGATTTGGAACGCCGCTGATGTTAAATAATGCGATGCAGTCAATCTGTTTGCTAAGCGTGTTTCCGTTAGCTTGATTACATTTGTTATACCAACTGAATAAATAATATGAAATTTACACTCGTACCCCAAATTCAGTTTCTGCCCAGAAACTATCGCCTAAACTTGTTATTGTCATATTTTATAGCTCACAATGAAATAAATAATTTATGCCATTTCTAACATTAATATTATGATAACATTAGAGAATATGCAGGGTCCGACGTCGAATATCGCTGTGTAACCAACGAACTTAAAACAATAATTTAGTGTTTAAGTTAAATCGCTAACATTAAATTACTGTACATGTTTTTATTTTAACTTAAACTGATGGTTACAAATATTCTTGTAATAATAAATAACGTGCAAAACAGCTAAATTCTCCCTTTGAGCTACGTATGATGCAAAAGTAAGCGAAGGTAACTCAATGTAAACTACACTGAAGAGTAATTTATTGAACTCAAATGAGCATAGACTTGTTGATTATTTAAAAGGGCCACTTTTAATAACGCCACGTTGAAACTTCAGCAATAAAAGGTAATGGTGGTCATTTGGTTCGCTAGACTATTTCACTTATTAACTATTATCGATTAGCCGACTTTGTGAATCGTAAGTAACCTTGCTGACCTAGTTGTTTGCGATTTTAACATTGTAGTCAAACAAGTGACCCAGTTCGTAAGTTTGGTAGAATATCGCGGTGGTTTTATTTGTATGATTGAGATTGGCGAACGAGGTCGAGGCCGTACCCAAATGACGACGTTTTGCTCGCTTACAGATGCTATATTGTTTATTATATGACGAAATAGAATTAAAACCTTGGTAATAATACGTAAAATAGCTGAAAAATAACGAATGCCGACCGTAAAAATGTTACTTCATTCGACAAAAATAATAATTAAAAATACTAATTATATAGATAATAGTAATCGACATTCTTGATTGATTCGAACGAGGTTGTGTTGGGTTAGGTCACGTCTTTTTTACTTTTTGTACACAAACTTGCCGTCGATAAAAACATTATATAATACGATTATCAAAAGAAGATTAGGCCTAGTCATAGATTGATTTGATTATAAACTACATATCGATTTTAGTTCGATATTTTTTTTAATTTTATACACAGTGTGATATGAAAAATTCGCCAAATTATTTAGTTGGATTATCGGGTGCTTCGACAGTTGGCAATGCAACATGTTCACAATGAATGGTGACAACAACTGTACGACCAACCTCGGTGTGTTTGTATGTTTTCAGTGTTTCAATTTGTGTGCTTTAATTTTTAGTTTTACTCTTTTGTCTGGATGAAATAATTCAGTATAAATACTGTAACCTACAAACAATGCGACGTTAGTAACACGATCTACTTGAATGGGTTTTCCTGTTGCATATTTCAGGAGTTTTTTCACTCTGTCACACGTGAGTACGATGGCGCCAATATGCTGGCTTGTGTGGAAATATGTGTCGTAATTGTTGTAAACTGCCACCTGTTCATGTGTACAAACATTGCTGACACCAGCACAGCACGCACTGCTTTGTGGGATTTCAAACTGGAGGATTTTTTTGTAGTTTTCTGCGGGTACAAGTACAAGTTTGACGTCACAGGAAGCGGATGTGTGGGTCAATTTATGTTGGATTTCGTGCTATTGATAGTGTTATCGCCGCAATTTTCGTTTGATTCTTCCCTGAAAACACCAACGTTGGATACACAGTGGTTTGACGATGCATTACTTCGCCTAGTAGGTATAGGCTAATGAACATTATCTCTCAATCAGTACTTGGATTCTCCACTAAATTGATTTTAGTGTAATTGTTACCATAAGTGTATAAAAGTTCGACTTTATTTAAGATTACAAATTACAAACAAACAATTTGCAGTCATAAAGATTCCTCAAAGAAAAACAGGGCAGCTACGCACTGCTTTAATCAATGTTAATATCTGTACTAACAAGGCGTGGATCGAAAATATGATTTATGAATTTGTTTTGAGTATTTCTAGTTTTAATTGTAAAAAAATCTTTATAAATTTGTTTGGTTACAATTTTTAGGATGAACCCTGAATTTTGCAATACATGAGCGAATCTGGGTATTTTGTGTTCCATCAAAATTTTTGTTTCTGAACACTTATGATTCAAATATTAAACAAATTAAAAAGATTAGGTCTTATTTTATGTTTTTAGGAACCTGTTCTTTAAGATCTGTTTAGATCAAACATAGTAATTAATTCAGCAGCACATCAAAGTAAACTGCACAATACTTGCCATTTACTTCAGCCATAGATAAAAAACACTCCCTGTTCTGGATTCCTAATCCATATAGAACAGCTTAAGACAATTTTATTGTAAGTTCTCTCCGGTGCACTGTAGAGGTTGTTTCAGTTATTTAAAACCTCGTTATAATAAAATAATTGTTTCCTATATTTACATATTTTATATTTAAAAATTGGCGCATACAAGGTCAACAGTTATTTAATAACTGCTTAGGATATTTCTTATTGATTTTTTTTCTGTAGAAGGTGGAACGAATGCCACAGAGAGATATTAACGCGAGGTAGAGGGTCATAACCCATCAAAGGCTTTGGCTGGCCAATGCTCCAGCAGTGCAAAAACCTCCTCTCAACGGCGCGGCGTACATTTACATTCACATCCTTGAAACGTACAATATTCAATTGATCGAAACCACGGAGGGGAATATTTCGTCCAATATCAAGGTATACAGTAATTAATTGTAGTAGGCATACTGCAGTATGATAACATCAGTTCAGCTATTGTAGTGTACTGTTTCTATAATACTGTATTTTTATAACTTTTAGTTGTTGGATTTAACACGTTCTTGTGTTTCCACAAATAGATTGTATTCTTCTGATGGGATTCTTGTCAGCCTCTAGCATTTCGGGAGTACAAAGCAGTTAACACGGATATGTCGTCTACTCGGTACTAAGCACGCCGCGCCGCGCCGCCCAGCCAGGGACAATGGCCTACCAAGGCCGCCATGTTCACGTATTATCATACCTGCTTTGTTTTTGTCGGCCACTTAATCGCGGCTTCCTCCATACGACCACCTGGCCCTGGCCACAACCAATCGCGTCGCCACTGTGACATCAACTTGTATGTGGTCTTTTCATTGTTACTTTGCAAGAACGTTAAAGTGATTAAAATGTGCTTTAGTGAATTTCCCTATTGATATACAATAAAGTACACACATTTTATCCCCATCAAGTGAACTGTAGGCCTACTAAAGATAAGACGATACAGGTATACACACAATTTTTATTTCAAACATAAAATACGCAATTTGTACCTAACATTAAAAGTTCCAACATTTCTCACCTTTTGTAAAGTTCTACGATTTATACGTACATTATTGTTTTTGATTGGGGGGCATTATCCCGCCATTCTCCAATGGTTAGTTACGTGAATATTTAATAAATGTCGAGATTGTCTATAAACCTAGCGTGGAATGAAGTCTAAAACTGTCTTGGGCTATAGTCTTGCTTCTTATGTTGTGAGGGAAGGACAAGACGTGTTTTTGAAAATTGTCGAACACGTTTGGTTGAGCCGAGTTCGAATCCTGCCAATCACCAAAGATAATTTTCTGTGTGAATCCCCTGACCTAATAGTTCGGGACCAAATTCAAGTTATAGACGTCTGTTTGAGATCTACCTACACGAACTCGATCTTTGTTTAGTCCGAGGCTAGAAGTTGTAAGGCTGTAAGGCTGCGGGAGTCTACTGTCTATAGTTGTACAGTATTGAATCACAGCGGGCGTACACGTCACACTTACATAACTGTTATTACTTAACGGTTGGACGAGTGACGAGTATCTCTGTCTCTGTCAGACATACGGTAGACACATTGGCACTCTCACACACACTCACTCAGTCACTCACACAATACGACAAATCACGGGGTCACGGCTGTTTTCTCGGGTTTCCATCAAATCTGTTATGTAAGCGATCGTTAGCTGGCTGGGCGCTGGGCGGGGCTTGTACAACCTCGTTTGTTTTGTTACATTTAATTGCTAAAGTTGTATTTTGCTACATAATATTTCGAAAGGATTGCGTAAACCTTGCTGAAATAATAGTAGTGGAAGTCTCTCGAAATATGACCTGTGATCAATAAAATTGGTGTGAGTTTTGCGTGTCCTTTTATGAAACTATTTTGAGATATTTGCAGATGAGCATTATGTGTAGACTTGGGTAAAATGAATATATGTAGCAGCTTCCAAATTTATTTTTGAGATTGTAACATAGTGTTTCTTTTCAATTCTACGCTCGTTAAGTTGTTTACATTTCTGTAATAATATACTACAAAAATTGTCACATTGCCTAACTAGAAAAATTCTTTTGAATGGTATACTGTCGATGTTTATACAAAAAAATTGTTATACAACCCCTTTTCAGCAGTTCATATATTTAAACCCGGTACAGCATACTCAATCGTTGTTGCAATCTCTCGATTATTTTGAGAATTGATAGTGTTTGGTAGAGGCATAAGAATAACTCTGCTAGATGTTGCAGATTTTGTTAATTTTACATTATATGTTAGTCAGGAAAATACAATGATTATCTGTTTTGTTTCAGATCGCGCCCTCGGCCAAAAAATTGTGGGGTGTCGACGAACCTAAGGACGAACCGAAGGGGATTCTCAGTCTCAACGACCACCAGAATATGTGGCGGGACTCGACATGGAGCACTTCGGGTATGTCAAGTTTGTTTGTAACACATAGTCGTACTCGTAACCAATAACTGTTAACTGTTAACTGTTATACGAATTAAACCCATACACATCTGAGGGATGGACATTCAATCCCAGAACTATTACTTGACTCACAATCAATTAATTAACAACATTTTGGGATGAGTAGATATGAATTCACGGTTTGAGTTGCTTCATTCGACACCTAGAAGCATCGGTTCACCCAACCCCGCACAATGAGCAATTTATAGTGTCTACTATAAATTAATTGACCTTAGATTAGCTGAGGTTGGACAGTCAGTACCAACATTAAAGAGGGGTTAGGGTGGGACTGGCTGTTTGACGTTTGCTTGCGACTGATAGTCCAACAATGTTTGAATGTATTAAAGTCAACTCACATACGTCCTATTTGTTGTGATAACATGTTAAATTCATGTTGTTGCTTTTTAAGTATAGATGTATGCATGAAACATTCAGTACCAATATCCCACGTTTACCTGCTTTACTAATTGTTGGACAACCAGTCCCGGGACTGAGTGGATTATTGTGGGGACTGGTTGTCTTCCATCGTGAACACAATTTTACCAAGGCCAGTTAAACCTCGGACTGATTCTCCTAAATCCTAGTTGTAGAAATTATTATAAACTGGAACATCACATGTACTAAAATAAAAAAATATGTTTTCCAAAGTTATTTGTATTATCTAATGACTATAACTTGTGGTTTAGGAGCTATTTAACTCTGGAGTTTTGAAAGGCAACCGACTTTCCTATAATGTTTGTAATTGTGCTACTATGTCATCTATACTGCTTCTATCCACCTACAAGGATCATAAAGTAAGAGTCGTCACGGCGCCATTGTCATTGTCTAGCGTTGGCCATTACAGTGCGGAAGTGTAGACACTAGACACTAGACAGTCGATGCTGATTGTCACTACTGTACATGTTTGTAGGTTTGGCAGTTACCCCAGTTACTTGTTGGCTTGACGCTCACTTACAGTAATGGGCCTCTTTAAACGTCTTGCTCATATCTGGGAGGCACGCAATGCTGCTGATCTTTGCTCGGTTGTTTGTGTAATTTTGCCACCTCTGTAATTTCCCAAAGAGTCTCGGTGTGGACGGCGTTGCTTTGAACTCTTCTGTAATATTAGGCCGGCATGGTTGGGCAGCGCTACTCCTTTTTTGTGTCTTTTTATTACTTTCATATTATGAAATCTTAGATTTTACTAGTAAATTTTTTAATAAACAGTTGTATAAAGTATTTTTAGTACTTCCAATTCAAATTTTTCTAATATGTAGATAAAACAGCCTATAATAAAATTCGCCAAACAAAATATATGCTACTTTATTATGTATTGTTTCCCATTAATCGATCTACTGTATTTGAATAATCTTGTAGTTTTTCTTGTAGTTTATAGACTGTTACACTGCGGTTTTGACTTTGTGAACACATCGATATAAATTTTGGTCAATTTAAATAGCATGGGAAACCCGTACAATTATGGTAATTTGCGCGGAAGTTTTGAAACCTAACTTCAAGGCAATTTTCACCATTTCAATTTAAAGAAAATAACCCACGGTGATAAGGATCCGAAAAAAAATGTCATTCGTAAAGGGCGAATCTAATAAATTACGGAACGTGACCACGTGGTACCTACCACGTAGGTTGTATATTTTGTCAACTTAATGTGAATTGTAGTGAGCCACAGAGTTCTTTTTCGATGATGACGGTTGTGCTATACACACTAAACAGTATATACACGCTTCTCTGTGTATAGAATATACACTATACACAGAGTACTGCTCTGTAACACTAGGCGATGATTCATTGCCTCTCTTCCGCAGATGGTCTGCATTGTTCGTAATGACTTGCCGATTAATCGGACACTTCCGAGCCCCATCATGATTGTTTATGCTTCCGCGATGAGATCCTATTTAATTTTGCATTGGAAACTGATTACACTGATTATTTTGTGGGGTGAGTGGTTGTCAGTGAATCCCGTGATTTGACGTTTGTTTAGTGGTGACAGGCTTGCGTTTGAAATCAATTGTTGTTAAATCGTAAATGTCCCAGATTGAAATGAAAGCGAAAAAGGAAAATCTGCATGGTTGGTTACAATAGGTAGTGTTTAACCTGTTAAATTCAAATAACCCAATATACTTTCACACAAGATTTTGACAGAATAAAAGCAAGCATATCCGATCAGGTAATTAAGATGAAAGAGATATTCAGTGACTATGTTGGCGCATAATATTAAACTGATCAATGCGTGTTATTGGAACAATGTTCATGCCGTTCATTTTAAAAGCGATTCTCCGTGGTGGAATATGCTTGTTCTGGCAAATATTTGTTGAAAGTTTTAAACACTTGTAAGTGGTCAGTGGTGGAGTCATAAAAGTGTGTACTTGCTACAAACTGGTTCATATAAGTTCCGCGATGTTATCCAACACCGTGTGGCCCTACCTCACCAAATAAGTGAGTGGAGTCGCCGGCTGCATGTTAATATTAGGGGCGGGATTGGGGCGCAACAAAGCTAGCATACGAAATACTACGGACTCTTATGAAATAGGTCAATTCACGTTTGTGCGTATCGTGTTATCATCTACTTTTTGAATAGTATAATGGAATGAAACCCTATGTATGTGTCCAGATATATTACCAAGGTTACTCAGAATACCGTGAAATCCCTCGACACGGTGCAACGCCTAGGAAGGTTTTTGAATTATTTCCAGTCTTAAAATTCAGTCATAATGTTAAGCTTAAAGGAATTTGTTGGTTACTGTTTTATGCCTAATGATAGGGTGTTTGTAATCACTTTGTTTACGTTTTTCTAACGTAGGTTTTTGCATTTTATCCTTCGACCGTTCATAGACATATTTAATCCACATGTTAAATTTGTCGCCAGTTTTAAGTCAAACTAGATGTAGTTGAAACACAAAAAGAAACTCCATCATAACTCAAGTGTTTCAACCAAAACAAGATTTAAATTTAAAAATTACAATGTGGTGGAAGCAAAATATTTAACACACAATTCGGTTTATTTAAACCGTAGTTATTCATCAAATTCTTGAAAGGGGCGTGAAAATAAGTATTTATTAGTAAAACAAAGTTACTGGGTATTTTAGGTCTACCGCACGATCATCTTTCAGGAGTTTCCGTTTTAATTTAGCACCACTCAAGAAGATGAGAGATACAAAGTTGGACTAGATACTGTACATTTCCGAGTATCGCGTGGCCGTGGTCGGAGTTTGTTGTAGTTTCTATTATCTTGACATGACGCGTTCGTCTTGTATTACCTCTGACTTTGCTCTCTGAATCTCAATTGGTCGTCGTCACGATTCGACTCTAGTGCTGTTCTAATTAGTTTTACCAACTCATTTACATTTTGTAACACTTGTAGGTATACGAAGTGCAGCAGTCGCTTTGAATGGTTATTGCAAAAAAAAACTTTAAGGGCGCGCTTTACCCCTGACGCGCAACCGAATGCAAGAGTTTGCAAGATTTCTGTTTTCACCTGCTACATTGAAGATAAAATCAAAGTTAAGGTCTCATATTAAAGAGGATGAAATTTTCTATAGTTCTTTGTTTCTATATTTCAATTATTTTAAATACACACCTTATAAACTTGAGTTGTACAAGAGAAAAGGGTATTTTCAACTAGCCTTATCTTAAAAGTGTTTTGAACATTTAAAAAAACGCAGAACTATAAATTGGTATTTATACTACTATAAGCCGTTAAGAGTGCGTAGCTATCATTATTTGTTAATTCTAAAACAGTAATCTTGGAAACGTCTGCAAGCGCTTCTCGCAGCGCTGTCCAATGGTGAAACATAGCTACTGAAGCCCGACCTGAGATTTCCGAGCTGTGTTGAAGTGCACCCTTAATTTCCTTCTAATAGCTGAAATTAATTCCTGTTTAATTTTATCAAGCGATCTAATGTATTTTTGACATCTGGTTGTTTTTAGAAACCGTGGTTTTATTACTTAGGGATTAAAAACTATCGAAAGTTGTATTTTCCAATTTCTCTAATTTTAGCAAATTTCCAATATAGTGAATAAGCTAATACCGTAGTACTCATGGTAAGACCTAGCCCGGGACCAATTTACTTTTTCATTTTGAGATCCCTAGAAGCTAAAAACACCTAGAGACTGTAATGAAAATATGCATAGACAATTTCCAGAAATGAGAATTTCTTTTTTACTTCAGTAACTAATTATTAGTACCTTAGGCGTACTCGTTTATTTTGTAAAATATTTGTTATGCTATAAACCTTTTAAAGTATAGAACCTAATAATAACCATAAGTGCTTCCATTCTGTAAGCATAGACTATCGAAGGAGACTGGGGCTTGTAATAGAGAATGGGGTTTTATGATAGTGAACGTCGTAATCCTAGGGTGGAGTCTTGTTGTGAAGACACGGAATACGGATACACGACTATAGTGCTATATTATAGTGCTCACGCTCATGCTCAGTTGTACAGTTACAGTGTACATGCGGGCACTGCTGTGTAAGATGACCGCTATAGCTACGATGGGTACAAGGACACGGCGTGGCTGAGGTACTCTCTCGGTACTTTCTCTTTGCTCTTTGTTTAGATCGCCTACACCCTACACTGTATACGTCCAGTATCTCTGTAGGAGGAGTCTCGACACAGGATTCTATGTTACTAACTACTAGCATCATGGTTTATAATAAATAGATTTATACCAGGGAGCGTAGTGTGGAGATTTATTACAAGCCCATTGATAAACATAGCTCCAGTTGGGTCCAGCCTCCAATCTGTGAAAAGACACTGGCTTTTAGGATCGATCCCGGCAACCTTCAGATTTCAATTATATTAGGCAAGCTCCACAACCACTCGGCTATATCTAGCTAGAACACCCTTTAAATTAAATAACAAAGAACATTAATAGATTGTAAATTATGCTTATATACCTAACTCGGATTGCAGTACGTTAACTTCCACGAAACTCGTTAATATAGGTACATAAAATGGATAGC